GTGAAGTACACCGAGTCTTCGTTGGCGACTCTCATATCGGGGGTGTTCTCGATCGTCCTGCTGTTTAACTCACAGAGAGACTTGTCTCTGTAGTAGTTGATGCTCTGACACCCTGGCTTTGCAGCACAGGTCCTGTAGCAGCTGTCGATATCACCGATGGTCAAAGTTTCCATGACATGGTTTACAAGCATTGTCCATAATTCTGAGGTATGACAGTCGGTATCAGCGATCTGAAGAGCGAAAACACAGATTATTCTGGGACAACCCACAATGGTAGATGTGCAAACTCTGACTCATCTTAATAACAAATTATGATTACTGATTATAAAAACTGAAAACCTTAGTGGAGATGCAATAAATCAATATATTTCTGTTATATGTATTCCTTCGCTTTTTACCCATCCCGAAGAATTGATGAGTATGAGAAGTAATGTTTAAAGTCCTCGGACTGGAACTAATTGCGCGGACATGAAATCCCGTCCAGTCCTCATTGTCGGACTTTAAACATTACTTCAAGTATATATAAAATATATAAAGAAACTATGGAATATCATCACCGAAATATTTTTCAGAAAGTGCTAGTGCTAGGCAATTTCAAAACAATATTTAATAAATACTTGGAATTTGACCAAAAAATAGTAATTCTGCATATTGCTGTAACTATAAGAATTTTATAAATAAAAAAATTTGAAGAACAAATTAAAACTTGTAACTTGGTAACTTTTAATAGACTAAATCGGGTAACGGCGTTGCTATGTACGTTGCCACCCAATTGAAATCCTGTGCGGAAAAAAGAACTTTTGTTTCTTTCTAAGAATTCAACTGTGAAATGAAAATACAACGAACAATGAAACTTACTCCCGGGTGGTTTGAATTGGGTTGAAGCCGATTAGTTAGAACATTTCGGGCATTCGTCCTATTCAGCAAACTGAATGATATATACATCTACTTGCAAAAACGTTGTCGAAGAAAATAGGGCATTTGTATTTAATAAAAAGGAATAAATTTAAAAAAAGAAGATCACTGAGGCTGAACTCTCTCTTTTGTGTTGTTGTAATTTATTCCTTTTTTACTAAATTCAAATGTTCTATTTTCTATATGACAACGTTTCTGTAAGTAGGTGTGTATCATTACTATTGCTTCAAACGGATATTACGGATGTAAACTCTTATGTTGAATCTTAGCATAGAGTCTACTATCACAC